GATTTAATGACCTAAACACTTTACGGTATAGGCCAATCGACCGTTTGTCGTCAGTGTGATTTAGTTCTCCTATAAACATGTATGTGAATTGCATCTCGAAGTGAATTGTCTCTCCTCCTAATATCTACCTTTCTCCTTCAACGATTCCAGTTGAATTTAATTTTAAAGTTCTCATTGTCCATTAACGAGATGCTAACTTGTGTTTTACATACTAAATACTGCTTGCCTTTGGTTGTAAGGTGATATTTGCGGCTGTTTTGCCTTCTATATTTTTATTTTTTTTAACTGTGTCCGCTATCTCACTAAGATAAGCCATACACTGTATATTTTATGATTTCATAAACTGGCGTAAGCTCCCTCGTGGAGTTTAATTTCCTATTAAAAGGAGATAGGTCTAATATTATTTTTCGATAACTCTGTATCTTTTAGAAACTGACTTATGTCACCTTGTGATATTTAAGAGCAACCTTTTTTAAGTAATAAAATCGACCTAACTGACTTTTCGTATTTTCAGAGATACGCCACTTCGCGTTATTGGCGACGATATGTTCAGTAAGACTTTTGACCTATGGAGAGCATCATACTAAAATTTCTGTCAATTTGACCGCGAGCTATTTTCCATAACAATGTATATTTGTACTGGGTATTAGATTATATGAAACGGTAAGTAGTATGATGAATTCAATCTTTAAATACAAAATTTTCAATACCACGTACATATCTCAGGCACCATTGAACCGATTTTGTTGAAATTTTGTAAGATAACAAAGTTACATAGGAATAACGTGAAAGTAGACGGTTGAAAAATCTAGGGCCGGACTAGATTTTTCTCACTTTTATGTTTCTTTTTTTTATCAAAATCAACACATTTTAAGCTGAATATTGAAGTGTTTAACTATGTACAATACAGGCCAACTAGTGGCGCTAACTAATTAGCAAGATAAATAATAATTCCTTGAAGGTTTACATTCATTCAAATATCTTATTCTTAGCCGTTTATATGTCACAAAACATTTCAAGGATTACCATTTTGGTTTAATTGAAATTTTCAAAAATTATGCTCAAAATTGAACTAAAGATGTTTTGGGAACTCAAAATTCCACGGGTTGTTTTATTTCTGTGTATTCTATTGAGTGCAACGCCCTGTAAGCTATACTCCGAATTCATTATCGCTTCGCAGAAAAAGTAGCAGTACATGATATACAGGGTGTCCCGCGAGGTAAGGGACAAAATTTTTCTACGTGTTCGTCAGGTCAATTCGGGTGGAAAAAGTCCTATGAACATGGGTCCGCAAATGCTTCCTTATCGAGTTAATGATTTTTTTATTTTTAAGGTGCTAATGGTGGGAAAACCACAATATTGTTAGAAATTTACTTTTATTTAACACAAAATTACTAGGTACAAGAAAAATAACTATTCACAATAGTTGTTCATATTGTCCACCTTCACACTGTAAACATAGTCTAGCCCGTTTAATAATGTGACTGGTGGCTTTCCTAATAACAAGACGATTACTTCTTATGTTGTTAGCGACATGAGTAATTTAACGGAGCAGTTCAGCCCTGTATGCGTTTTCAATGCATACACTAAAGACTTCATATATCCTCACAAGTAATAATCCAAGGGATTTAAATCGGGCAAGCGGGGTGGCCAAGAAACTGCGCCCGCTCGTCCAATCCAACGCCCAGGAAAAGTGTTATTTAAATACTTAGTCACATTTTTACCACTGTAGGGCGGAGCACCGTCATGCTGTAACCACATCTATTGTATTCTCTGCAGCGGAATATCCTCTAACAACACAGGCAGTTCTTCTCGTAAGCATTGAAGATAAACTTCATATGTCAACGGACGGACCGAACACAAAAGGGCCAACTAAGTGGTCCCCTAACAATCCACACTAACAGAAAAACGGTGTTGGAAATTCCGTTCGATACTTGCGTAGGGATTTTCAAGCTGCCAAGAATGGGAATTCCTCAAATTATTGACTCCGTCTCGATTAAAAGTAGATTCGTCGGTGAACAAAATCTTTTTAACAAGATTACGATTTGCGAGGAGCCAGTTACAAAACTGCATACGAGGGTCCGGATCAGTGGGCTTGGACAGGTTGCAGATGAAATAGGTACAAACCAAAGTTGTGCATTGTTCTACACACAGTCATTCGGCTAACACCAATGCGACGTGATATTCAGCGGGCGCTGGTTGATGATGACCGTTCAACACTATCCAGTATTAAGTCATGGGCAGCTTCTGATGGACGTGTTACAGTAGCATTTGAAACCGATCCTGTTGCTTTCACATGTGCCAAAACTCTTCCAAATACCCTTCAGGTATTGTTCGATTTGGATATCGGCGGCGGTATTCGTTCACTGATGCTATGCCATTTCCGTTGCAATATCCGTAGTCAAACATCATGTCACCGTATTCCTCACTTGTAAAAACAAACATTTTGCAAAATTTTGATGAATCCCTGTTAATAACCCCTGAAATTTGAAGTTTTGTGTCACATAAACTACTAAAAATAAGACATTAATTTGAATAAAGAAAACAAAATTACTGAAAAACCAGAAAACGCGCAATCAATCTATTTTTTCCTAACTAATTAGCACCATTGATTGGATTTTTTGTGTATGTAGTCAAACCTTCAACCTAAAAGATGTTGCTGTTAGATGAAAAACAAAAAAGTGAACAAAAATTGTGAAAAATCTTTACACAATCGGTTCAATAGTGCCTGAGATATATGATATTGAAGGTTTGGGATGTTTGCATGAATCATCCTGTATAACCGTAAAAGCTGAATTTAGAATTTTTCTAATTTTCAGGTAGTCAAAGGTTTCGGTCCATACTACCTACCATTTCACTATGTCTACATAAGTATATACAGGGTGGCGCATCGAAAACATAACAGACGCATTTACTGGCAGCTCTGTTTTTTTTTGGGAAAAAGCTCAGACCCGTCGGTTTTGTTTTCGAGAGGGACACAAGTTTGAAAAAAAATCACGTTAGCACGTGCAGCACCCTGGGCGGGGGTGATACCAACCCTAAAATCTTAAATGGAAAGGGGCGTCGAGTGATAACTTATTTTAAAGGTCTTTCAATTCCCTTTATCATGATATAAAATTAATGTACGTCAGTTCAGTAGTTTTGAAGATTTATTGATTTAAAGCTTAAAGTAGACTTTAATAGGTACATCAAATTAGTTTGTACTACTTTCAGAAGAAATTTGACTAAAAGAATTCACTTAATAAGTAAATGCTTTTCTTCACTAGGCCCATCATTTTGTTGTTGAAAATAGCTATTGGAGCGTTTTTTTTTTGTGGCAAAAAAATTTATTTCTTGAAGAAAGATAAGGAAATATCTCGTACTTACTTTAAATAGGAATTTAGTACATAGTTTGCGATTGATTTGACCAAACTTTGTTCCGAAAATAACTTGTAACGCTTTATTACATAAATTGACCATGGTATATTCCACAGCAGAAAGAGTTGAAATTATCGAAATATTTTTCGTAAATAATCAGTGCGCTAATAGAACAGCAGAAATATTTAATGAGCGACATGAGAACAGTAACGTGCAACGAAAATATGTTCTAGAACTTGTAGCTAAACGAAGCAATAGAAGTGGGGGTTTTAGGGCAAGTTTATGTACATCCTACGTTAAGTGCCCGCAAATTGGAGACTGTGTGTGGTGTTAGTCGACGTACTCTCCAACGGATTCTAAAGGCTCATAGTTTTCATCCGTACAAAATTCACCTGGTACAAGAACTTAATGAAGACGATTTTGATCGGCGATTACAATTTTGTGAAGATATGAGTGAACGAATTATAAACGACGAACATTTTCTATTCAACACTTGCTTTTCCGACGAATGTTCCTTTTTCTTAAATGGCGTAGTAAATCGTCATAACTGCCGATATTGGTCCGATTCTAATCCCAGAATTTATCATGAGGTTTTTACACAGCAGCCATAAAAATTAAATGTTTGGGCTGGTATTTTTGGCGATCATTTAGTTGGTCCTTTTTTCTTACCTGCAAATTTGACCGGTGAAATGTATTTGGAATTACTGGAAGACGCCATAGATCCTGCATTAACAGCCATAATTAAAATCAGAATTATCAGCGGTACATTGCGAATAGGTTGATGTTCCAACAGGATGCTGCCCCACCACATTACACATTATGTGTGCGACAACATTTAGATCAAACGTTTCCAGATCGATGGATGCCATTGAATGGCCCCCAAGATCGCCAGATTTATCACGTTTGGATTTCTTTATGTGGGGTCATTTAAAAAGCTAAATCTATGCTCTATACTCAGTCAACATCATTAGAAGACTTGCGACAAAGAATTGTGAATGAGTGACTTCAAATTACTCCTCAAATATTGCAAAATGTGCGGCAACGTTTTGACCAAAATCTTTATTATTGCATGGAGAGTCATGGTGGCCATTTTCAACATTTACTTGCCTAACGGGTCAGTTCATTTTTAATTTTTAAAAAACTTTGCTGCCAAATGTATTGATCTCCACTAATGATGATGTATTAGTTTTATTTAAGCTTTAAATCAATAAATCTTCAAAACTACTGAACTGAAATACATTAATTTTATACCATTATAAAGAGAATTGAAACTCCTTTAAAATAAGGTATCACTCGACCCTTCTTTCCATTTAAGGTCTTGGGGGTGGTGTCACCCCCGCTTAGGGGGCTGCACGTGCTAACGTGATTTTTTTCCAAACTTGTGTGAAAACAAAATCGACGGGTCTGAGCGTTTAAAAAAAAAACTGAGCTGCCAGTAAATGCGTCTGTTTTGTTTTCGATGCGCCACCCTGTATATCAAAACTGAAAAAAAATTAAACCTCCCATACCTAAGAAACCGAGGAGTAGGAGTTTTTCTGGAATAAAACGATCTCTCTTATTTAAACTTCAGAAAAAATGTTAGGCATTTCCAGAAATTCATATTGTCTGATATGAAAATAGAAATGCATATCAATTTCTTGCAGGTGTATGCGTACCTCTAGATCGCCTTCTTGGTGCAGGCCAGCATAATCTCAATGCTCTTAAAATGTATAGACTCGTCGAGAAGACGGATAAATCTCATATATAATTACGTTGCTATGCAGAATGCAACGAGGCTGTCGCGTGAATTTTTCAACGAACGGAATCCCAGGAGCAGAGTTTTGGTTGGAAGTGCAACGGTGACAAGCAGAAGCGCACTCGTAGAGCAGGTCAAAGCGAGGAAATGCATTTTTCCCATCTACCTGCCAACATCACTGCGAAACTCTGTCGAAAGCTTTCATGGAAATTATATTTCTCCTATTATACTGTAAATGCGGAATATACAATAAAATTATTTTGGACACTTTGAAATATATGTTATCAAGTGGGTTGACGTAATGGATTCTGTTTGGAAATCTGTTTGATAAAACTAATTTAATTAAAACCACAAATCTCTAAATGGGTTTACATGCCTATATAGGGTGTTTCAGAACTATGAGATCAAACTTGTAGGGGTTATTCAGTGTAACAGTAGAAAACATTTGAGTATTAAGACCCATATCCGGCGATTGTGTGTTGTTACGAGGGATGTCTTAAGTTTTGCATATTATGGAAATAAAACAACACCGTAGGTAGTTTTAAATGACTTTATGGTTTTTCGAAGTATTCTCCATGAAGATTAATACACATCTGCATGCGCTCGACCCAATTTTCGAAGCACTTATTCCACTCGTTTGCTGGCAGATCCAAAACGGTATCCAACGAGAAACTAATTTTCTTACTTTTAATTCTTCACGTTTGAATTCTCCATACCAACGGGAAATTGTCGACTGATGTGGCACTTCGTTGCCGAAAACAGACAGTAACTCAGCAAGGCATTCTTGTTGCGATAATTGTCTCTGAGAGTTGCAATAAATTATGGCGCGAAAATGTTCTCGGTTGAGTTCCATTTTTCTAATGACTTGATGACACTTAAAAATTCACTGTAGTGAGAACACTGCACGTATTGTTGTGAAACTTTGAATTTAAGTTTACTAAAGAGTGAGGTTAAGATTCAGTACTGACGTTCGATCCGCGCGGCCTACTATATTTCTATATGCAAAACTTAAAAGACATCCCTCGTATCTTTAAAAACAATAACAGAGGTTGTTTTTTGTAGCTGCATTCCATATCGCCTTAGTCGTGATATCGTATTTGTCAAGTTTGCAACAATTTAACAATTTATTAATTGTTGCTAATGGAAAACTTTACCAATCAGGAATCGGCGGATATGCTGCAATGAAAGAGAGCAGCGCGGTTGTAACAAGATATGCATGATACTGGTGTTGCTCGAACCGTAAGAACGGTCGAATATGAAGAAGAGGTCCTTCAGCGAGTCGCCGACGAACCATCAAGTAGCACACGTCACAATGCTGAGGATACGAATACGAGTAACGCTTCCATCTGGCGGGTGCTACACGAGCAACAACTTTATCCTTACCATTTTCAGAAAGTTCAAGGATTGACTGCAGCCGATTATCATCCTAGAGTTCAATTTTTTCAATGGCTTCTTCATCAAATCGCTGCACAACCAACTTTTTTTACACTATGTTTTATGGACCGATGAAGCTTCTTTCACAAGAGACGGTATTTTTAATAGTAGGAATAGCCACGTTTGGGACAAGGCAAATCGCCCATGCAATTTTTCCTAGAAAACATCAGCAACGTTGGTCTGTCAACGTATGGGCAGGCATTGTTGATGATTATTTGATTGGGCCATACCTTCTACCGGAATGGTTAACAGGACCTATTTACCGGCGTTTCTTGGAGGAAGTTCTTCCAGAACTTCTTGAAAATGTTCCATTGCTGTACAAGTACGTGAGTATTTGGCTCAGCGGTTTGGGCAACATTGGATTGACGGAGGTTGAGCAGTTTCTTGGCCTCCTAGGTCACCCGATGTAACGTCGCTAGATTTTTTCCTGTGCGGACATGTAAAGTCTTTGGTTTACGAAACTCCAGTAGAAACAGAGCAAGACTTAACTTTACGAATTAAAGCTGCATTTGAAATCATTCTAAACGAGTATCAAATTTTTAGTCAAGGCAAAAATTAAATGCATAAAATCCTTTCTGGCAATTTCCGGAGATACTCAAATGTTTTCTATTTTTACACTGAATAACCCCTAGAAGTTTGATCCCTTAGTTCTGAAACACCCTATAGGTGCTTAGATATGCATGACATCTTTTCTTCGGAAAACAGGATAAATCCATGTGTATTACAGCATGGAATTTCTTCTGAACGGATGAGGTACATTATGAAAGTGTGTCAGGCCCAAGAAGCTTTTGAAGACTGAGGGGTGGGAAATTTTCTCAGGAAGGACAAATCCTAAAAATCGCCAACTTGCGGGAAAGTACAATTTCGAAAATGTTTTTTGATGTCGCGTACAGCACGGAAAATAATGTCACTCATTTCCATCGCTTCTTCGGTCTATCTGCTGAACCTTTGCCCCACTATACAGTATCAGAAGATACCGTGCTATTTTGATGAAATTATGTTTCAGAGGCTCTCCTTGATTTTCAGAACAAATTTTTGTTGGGATTGAAAATAGGTGGGGAGGGAGTGTAAGTCGTAGGTAATGTATACTAAGTGACATATAAATCCGAACACCCAGTTTAAATGGTTTTACGATATTTTAATAAAATTTTGTATAAGTACTTAATGAAGCATAATAAGTAAATGATAAAAATTTCAAAATGATTGCACTGCTTTAAAGCCCTTTGACCTTTAATAATGTGTGGATGCACCCTGATGTGCTACGCATTCTCCAACGCGCCTAGGCATGCTTCTGATCAGGTGGTCAATGTCCTCCTGTGGTATCTCATTCCAGGCAACCACCAACTCCTCTCGAAATGCTTCTAGAGTCTGAGGAGTACGTTGCAAATTAAGCAATCTCCTACCCATCATATCCCACACGTGCTCAGTTGGGGATAAGTCGGGAGATCTTGGTGGCCATGGTAACAATGTGACATTATTATGTTGAAAGAAGTCTATTGTGACTCTTGCAACATGTGGTCGGGCATTATCTTGTTGGAAAGTTGGATCTGCCAGGGTGTCAAGATAAGGTAAAAGATGGGGTTCTAGAACTTCGTGGATATAACGCTGCGCGTTCATGTTACCTCTGATGAAGACTAAAGGTGACCTGGAACCATAAGCTATAGCACCCCAAACCATAACTCCAACAGTGTGATGAACATGTCTTTCAACAAAAAACTGTGGATTCCTCCTTTCACCACGTCGCCTTCTAACCCTGGCACGACCATCGTGCATGCCTAAACAAAATCAAGACTCGTCACTAAAGACAGTACTGTTCCATTCCTGATCCCAGAGTGACCGTTGTCTGCACCACTCAAGGCGATTACGTCGGTGTTCTCGAGTTAAAGGGAGGACCCAGTGTGGCCGGTATGAAAACAAGCCAAAACTTCTCATTCGTCGGTAAACAGTGTCCCTTGCTCTTTGCGTACGGCCTTCTCGAAGCCATGCCTGACAACACCTAACCACAGTGTCTACACTTCTTTGCACTCTAACTGCAATTGCCCGAAAAGAAAGTCCAGCTTCCCGAAGTCCCACTATACGGCCCCTATCAAACTCACTAAGTTGACGAAATCGTACAGGTCTCCGTACTCAGGCATCGTAACCGATCGTAAAGGATGTCAAGAATCAAAATCCGCCAACGTTGATTCTTTACTGGGGCTGAAATATTCATTTTTAGAGCGTTAGTGAATTAAAAAAAAGCAGTATAAAAACCGGAATGTCCAACTGATAAGGCTGAAAATTTGTTCACTTGTTATTTACAGTAAGATAAATACATTCACCAACTTTTATTAAAATAAAACCATTTAAACTGGGTGTTCGGATTTATATGTCACTTAGTATATAAGCGCCCAACGCATCATAATAGAGAAGTACTCTCAACATACACTACAACAACCGTAGATATTACTTGTGTCGAGGTTTGGCTGACGTCTGACCAAGGAGTGGCTGGCAAGTGGCAAGATATGTCATAGTAACGATGCCAGATGGTCGGCTCCGCTGGTAGAGTGGGAAAAACATTTCTAGACTTGAACATTGTTCAATAGGGGAGGAAATAGCTAAATTTTCTATCAAAGGAGCTAGTTTGCGCCAAACATAGCTCTTTATGAGCGTTGTTGATGTGAAATTTGAAAGCAGATGTATATGACTAAGTTTCAAGCTAATCTACTTGACACCGTTTTTTCACCGTGATGTTTTCATTTTAGGAAAATGTTTAGGTGGTTCAGGTTCTTCATTCGCTGGGTGCACGATAGCGCCACCTAGCGAATGTCACACTGAAATATTTGTGCCTAATATGTGCGTGTATATAAAAATGAACGGAAATGACAGATTTGAGATTACTAAAATTTTGAATTTCAATCAGACAATTCTTTTCTGACCTGGCAATTGATGACAGTGAAATAATTGCACCTGTGCTCTTCGCATATAGGTTTGACCTTAGAGACCACGCCTATATTTCACTATTAGTCCGAAGATGTTTCCCTTTTTGTCCACTGCGTGCGATTCATTTCCCCGCACTATGTTTTTCGCTCCCCGTGAATAGAGTTTGGTAGTCTTTTTATAAATCATAGAGGAAAGAGCAATGCGACTGCTTAGCAAGCTTTAACAAATATTTCATTTAGACTTTAAAGCAGCGTGACATAGAATCCAGAACTATTGAATACGGAATCATGCATAACATAGGTATTCAGGGTTCACTTACATCATTCTTCGATTGATATGTGTACAATATGATCCTATGATCCCCACAAAAAATCCATTAAATTCGGGCAAAGCTACGTTTCTCCATGGCGAACAAAGAAAATGTTTGAATGTTGTGAGATATATTGAAAATAATGATCCATTCAATAAAATGGTGCCCATGCACACTAACTTGAAACGGTGTCATTCCGAAGAGGTGGCAGGAGGTTGGTTCGGTACTCATTCCAGTATACTTGGAAAGCTACCAGAACGACTGATAGAAACTAGAGAAGAAAATTCGTCGACGAAACTAACGAGTTCTCTCCGTCACAAAAATTGTTCCACAAAGGGAAAGTCTGCCT